CGCATTGCCGTGCCATTATTTGAAATAATGGTACGCCAACATCAAAGGATGCCGTCACATCGGTGTATTGTTATGTTTAATTTCATGCCATTACGTCTATAAGGACCAACTCGGCAAAAAATACTTTAAAATGTTATTAGAAAACTGTTGAAATCAGAATGTTTCGGCATACCTTTTATCTTTTCGTCGTTTACCGTTTATATATGTTGACTGGCGCATTCCAATATATATACTGAGTTGCAGGTGTCATGCGTATAATGATAATTATTTGTTGAAATTATACGGGATTCTAAGATTAAATGCTCCGAACTAGGCTAATGCAGACGGGTATATGAGGGACATTTTGCCCGGACAGCGGCACTACGGCCTACTCTTATATCGAATTCCAACTGTCAAGGGATCTTTTACCTGCACGCCAATATGTACACGGGGCCTCAGTTTTTCGTCTCATCCAAACGACTAGAAAATTAGCACACACATCGCATGCCAGAATGCTTTCGAGCGCCATTTGTAGTAGAGCGACTTGATGAACGAGGCTGAATACAAATGCGTTGCGACCCATTTCTGTCTATTTTCTAGGCGCCGGAGATTTAGCTCCTTTAATTATAATGTCTTTATATACGGGAAGTAATATTAAAGGACAATATTGGTGTCAGTCATTATCACATATGTGATAGAACTGGTTAAACACGTTCCAAATATAATTTTAACACAGAAATCATTGCTACGATAGATGCATTATGAAGCTTGGAAGACAGGAAAGTGAGGAACGCAAAAGGAAAACACGAGTTATCCTTCTATTTAACTGACTGAAGTGACGAGTGATAACAGATACACGGGCTAATTTCTGCTCACTAATAATTCCTTCGAGAACCAAAAGTTGTTATACGAGACTAGGAGGATATCTGACAATTCAAACAAATGATTGACTGTCACTAGATAAGAGAAAACAGGAAAATAGAAACAGTCCGACGTCCGTACATCCCCTTGTTTTTATTCTTTCTATACTTCATAAAAACATGGTAACAGTTCTATCACATATGTGACAATGAATGACACCAATATTGTCCTTTAACAACATAAAACAAACTTATGGAAAAGTCTATCACACAGCTACCCGGTGAGATAATCCTAACATCACATGGTAACATATAATCTGTCATCTTATGGTAAATGATTCTGCATATAACATGAGCTTGATAAACATTGTAATTCAATATGACATAATATGTCAGTGTGTCTTACACGTAGCAACCTCCGCTATACTAACTCCGCACACTTCACGTTGTACCATGCTGAACGCCAAGTCATCATAATTATATACTGATATTCCATCTGGAGATTCAACTATCTAATATCGTCTAATCTATCTAATCCTTCATATAACAATCAAGGTCTTGGCTTTTTTTTTTTTAAAAAAACACAGTACTTCTTTAAATGAAAAGTACATTTATAAATAGAATATCACGAGAATTGTGAATGTAGTTGACTGTAGGTCGTGTCATAATTATTGCACTAAACCTAGTCAAGTAGGACGTTTATCCTATTTATTCTATATGTAGTGCATATTTGAGATCATTGCCCATATCAAGTAGATAGTTACCTCCTCAATAGATTACCTTGGGATCATTAATGTAGCATAACAGATAACTTCTTCTTAAAGGACAATATTGGTGTCAGTCATTATTACATATATGGGACGATGAGAGGGTATCTCACTATTCAAAAAAAGAATTGGCTGTCAGTAGATAAAAGATAATGAACAAATTAGAAAAAGTGCGTGCATTACCATGTTTTTTATTAAGAACAGAATGAATAAAAACGGAGGAATGCACGGGATTTTTTCTATTTTTCTCGTTTTCCCTTATCTAGTGACAGCCAATTCTATTTTTGAATTGTGAGATACCCTCTCACCGTCCCATATAATAACTTTTCATCAACAAACGATCGTTTGTCTGTTATCGCTCGTTACTTCAGTTAGTTAACAAGAAGGATAACTCGTGTTTGTCATGTTTGACGTCACTTCCCGTTTCTTCACGTGCTTGTTACAAGTCTCCCGTAGCAATGATTTCTGTGTAAAAATTATATTTGGGATGTATTTAACCAATTCTATCACATATTTTATAATGACTGACACAAATAGTGTCCTTTAAATGTACACTGATACATAAAAAAACATAATGGACCAGTGTGATATTTTCTATTTTTCCCTTTAAACGATTTTAAAGGATAATATTACTGTCCATCAAAAATAATTTTAACATGGATGATTGCACCATAACCACGATTTGAATATTCAGGGAGTGGTTAAAAACCGGAAATGGGTTATTGTTGCTGAAGTAGAGAGTGGTAACAGTAAGTTACACAGACGATGTACGTTCCACTCCCTATTAATTCCAATGAAGACAAAACGTTGACATTTAAGACTTTAAGAGGATATCATTTTAAAAACAACTATTCATGAAAACAATTTATTGCGTTTTGATCAGCAAAAGCGAAAAAAATAATAATAAAACAGCAAATGCGTCACAGGAGTAATGTGCTTGACTAGAGTTAATAATTTGATTTATTATAAGTTTGATATGTGATCGGTAATACGTCTAAAAGTGTTAGATCAATATAGGAAGGCACTTCAAATTGTAATTTACGGTCATCCATCACACGGCTAACCACGCTCGATGCATTATATAAGATTTAAAAAACGGATGTGACGTCACCCTTTGATGTTGGCGTACCATTATTTGAAATAATCGTACGGGCAACTTGCCAATCGTACATTTGTTATATTAGTGAAATATTGGACTCGCGTGACGTATTACATTGTAAAAGCACATGCGGAGTGTCTGTATTTTAAGTCGTTTAATGGTTTCGAGTTTAAGACATTGCGTAATATATTGTAAAAACACTCGGGCCTCATGGTCCTCTTGTTGTTTACAATATATTACTTAATGTCTCGCTCTCGACCATTAAACAAGATTAAAATAAAGAGCTGACAGTTCTTGTTGTAATAGTGGAAAAAAATATAAGATAATATAAATAAATATATTATTTTATTCTGAGCTAAGTTATGAGTGTTTGAGGTTTTGACAAAAAATAGCGTAAATAGTCTCGATTGTCAAGTACCGTTGCTGTCATGATAATAAACTGTTTTCCATTTCAACGTTTAACGAATATATGGCAGACACTTTCTATCTCGGCCATTCGATCGATGCTCTAGAGAGGTGATTATGATTTATATAACATTTGAAACCAGACAAACGTCCAGCAATATTTAGCTCTTACATAATACATGTCATTGAGTCAACTGGCGTGGTTTCAATTTCCCGGTTGTACGTGACAAGGAGTAGGGAAGCCTGTCCAGTCTCGTGGGTTTTTTCTGGGTCCCCCGGTTTCCTCCCACTACTAAAGATCCCTACACGCAAGCAAGCGTATTATTGAAATAAAAAAATTGAATCATGTGTTAGTCCCGAAATGACCTAGTTTGTGTCGAGTGGGCGTTAAACTCTCTCTCTCTCTCTCTCTCTCTCTCTCTCTCTCTTTCTCTCTCTCTCCATAATACATCTTTAATTGCATAGTAGTCACAATGAACCGCCGTCGAATTCATCCTAGATACCTTGGAGTAGTATGTATGTGGGGGGATAGGGGGTGGGGTCGTGCACCACGCAGCGGGATATTCATACACTTTCTAGAGCTCCTGTTACCATTTCTCAATTTAGCAGTTCACATATACAGCGTCTAGTTCTCTTCGGATGGGACACAAATTACACAAATTGACAGTTCGAATTGGATAAAAAGTATGTCGGTATTGTCCCCCTAACACACTGCGTGTCGTATTGGCGTCTTCATTCGGGGACCATGAGAGCTAATTGAGAAATGTGTTGATTCATTAACCTGGACGTACCGGGTTCCGTCACGATGTTGACCGTTACAGTACCTTGGCCATCCTTAGCATGCCCCCCTCCCACAGTAGAGTCTGGCAAGGAACAGTGTCTAGTTATTCGAGTAGACGAAAACCCGAGGTCCTGTGTACACGGTGGCGAGCAAGCCCTATAGTTGCAATTCGAAGAAGAGTAGGCTAAAGAACTACTGTCCCGGGGGTGGGGGTGTGTGTGGCGAGAGGGGGGTCAGGGCATGTGTATAGACCACTACACCACAATTAGAATCTCGCAGTCATCAAGTGTAACTTTTGATCTTGTACTGATCCCCAAATACGTTAGGTGGGGGGGGGGGGGTCGGAACATGTGCCTAGATCACTACACCCACAACACCCAAATAAAGGATACACCCCCAACCCTCTCTCTACATACGCGCTTCCATGTAATTGAGTTGGTATGTTACCTTAACTACTAACTTCCAACATTCACGTGCAGTGTAAGCGTTTATATAAACAGATATATCCCAATAACACGGCTAAATCTATTTGACAAGGCCAGGTCAATTTTTGTCAAGGTCGTTGAGATGTAAATAAGGTTAGGGCACGTGATTGTAGGTTAGGGTTAGGGTAAGCATTGGGGTTAGGTCGAGGGTTAGGGTTAGGGTTGGGAATACTACTAGCCCTATTTACATCTCGTGACCTATGACGAAACATTGAGCTGGCCTTATCATTTAGCAATAACCTTATACACACACCTCTCATAGGAAAAAACGTCAATGAATGTTGTGATGATGCAATCACATCTATAGGCGGATATCGTATAGCGGGGTGATCGAGGGGGAGGGTATATGTTAACGTACTCCCAGACGCCTAGACCCTGTTTGTAAGTTTGCCTCCTATTTTAAAATTAAACTTCCAGCGTCATGCTATAATGGTTGCTAATAATGGGTGTATGACAAGACTATGTTATTGCAATGCTTGAATAACTCTCCACGAAACTGGAGGGTTTTTATTTGAACCAAATGACGCGCGGCGTGGAGTTCTACAACCTGTACCGACTATACAGTACATGTATGGCAAGTTGGCACGTAGCCAAGTTGAACGATCGTGTTGAATCTGCCGACCGGTCAATGAATACTCACTATTCAGTATTGCCACGTTCTGTCGTTCGTATAGTATCTTACACATTTTAGTCATCATGGCATCAGAAATACCTGCTATAGATTCGCTTGTACAACAAGCCTCTGCTGGATTCAAGAAACAGTTTGGGGGTGAACCCCAGGTCGCCGCCCGTGCCCCGGGGCGGGTAAATTTGATCGGGGAGCACACGGATTATAATGATGGCTATGTGTTTCCTATGGTAAGTGTTGATATTGGCTTGTTTGTTATTGATGGCGAATTTCTTATTATGAGATAACTGTATCGATCCTTCCAGTATTTACTAGAGTCAATTTACGTTTTTTTTATAGTCAAACTGGTGAATAATTTTAGATTTTTGTCATAATCAAGTAAAAAATGTTATAATATACCCCGTGTTCTTTATTGACATTATATTTTTATAAATTCATATCATTTGAAAGGTATCCCACTTCTTTATGATAACTGTTAATAAATGGGGCTTTTTTATTCGTTGTCATTTACCCCCCCCCCCCCGGGACCCCCCATGTCCCCATGCCCCCATGCCCCCCCCCACCACCACCACCATAAAGCTTATACGAATAACATGATGTAATGACCTTTAGTGCAACTTGCATAATACGTCCCGAAATCGGATATATAAGCTAAGTATGACGACACTTTTATTAGTACATACATTTTATTATGTTGAAATACGCACCTCGTTCAGGACATTGAACGTAACAAACGTGTGTATGATGATGGGTTAGTTGTATTTTATGTCCGCTTCCACCGAGGTGATATAATATGAATTAACCTTTAACTAGGATTTGTGAATGACGATGACTCTCGAGACCTAGAAAAAAAAATAGTACGCGTCTAGTCATCTGATTGGCTCGGTCGTTACACACCCTCAATTGTGATTGGCTAGACTGTTTTCTTTTACACCAAGTCTGTTGTTTCCGTCATCAAGACGTAATTAAAGTTTAAAATAACAACTACGATTGAAAGACACCTTGATTTTTAATATATCAGAAGTATTTTATTGACAAAAATAGACTAGGTTTATATGACATATCTAATGATACGAATAAGATATACAAAAATGATATGTAACTAAGTCATGACAAGGGCGGATCCAGTGGAGGGGAGGGGGGCGTTCGCCTGGCAACCTGGATTGCTGACAGAATAATGCCCCATTATAACTCATTATTTTAGAAACCGATTCTTGTCTCAGATCACTGGAAATATAATTTCCGAGCTACTAGTTTTCGAAATTTAAAGGGGGAGAGGCCTCGCCGCCCCGCCCCCATCCATGGTCTCTGGATTTTAACCATTGATAACAGTTCAACCAAACCACGTCGGAAAATCCAGACGAATTTTCTCGGCCAATGCAAGGATCGAACACCCGACCTCCAGGTTAGTAAGCCAGCGTCTTAACCACCTAGCCACCGTGGCAAAGTGCCAAGCGTGCATTATTTGTACTAGTTGAAATATGTGACCCGCGTGACGTATTTCATTGGAATGCACCTGCTGGATAGTGTCTGTATTTTAAGTTGTTTAATGGTCTCGTGCGAGACATTGTGTAATATATAGATATAGCCCTCGTGCTACACGATATCAATATATATTACACAATGTCTCGCACTCGACCATTAAAATACACATATTATACTGTGTGACGAACTAGTTGTATTATACTGCTTGAAACCTGATCGAATATAGTACCACCTAGGGACATAAGGGGATTGGAAAGAGATTTTTGATATTTCTATAGCTTTTTTCTTTAAGTCATTTTGTGGAACTCTTGCAGTGAAAAACATCCACAGAATAAAATCATGTGGGTTGAACTGTTTCTTAGAAAAACAGCAGTTACCCGACCTCACATACAAGATGATAAACTAGCAAATAAATTGTTCATAAATCGAATCATTGACCAGTGACCAGTGACACAGCATACATATTTTATAAATCGAATCATTGACCGTGTATTATTATACCACCAATGATAGAGGTTTTGTCATTATACAGCATAACAGTTTCATAAATAGTAAACGTCACCAAACAATGGTCGCAATTGATACTATCGTTATTTCTATATACAGGCGTTGCCATTGGTAACAATACCACCGTTATTTCTATAGTTAGAGTGTTACCATTGGTAATAATTAATACTAACGTTATTTCTATATTTACAGATGTTGTCATTGGTAACAATACCACCGTTACTTCTATAGTTACAGGCGTTACCATTGGTAATAATTAATACCAACGTTATTTCTATATTTACAGGCGTTGTCATTGGTAACAATTGATACCACCGTTATTTCTATATTTACAGACGTTGTCATTGGTAACAACACCACCGTTATTTCTATATTTATAGGCGTTATCATTGGTAATAATTGATACCATCATTATTTCTATATTTACAGGCGTTGCCATTGGTAACGGTTGTCGTTGGAAGAAAAATCGAGGGAACTGTATGTCGTGTGTCGACCTTAGAACAATCTGCCAATGGATCAAGCGTGGTCGAGTTCCAGGTACCTTCAGCAGCTTCACCTCTTAAACCTGGTGCGCCAAAGTGGGCGAATTACGTCAAAGGAGTTGTTGCCAAATTTATAGGTTAGTAAGACAGGCAGACGTTCTTGATTTCAGGTATTTCAGAGTTTATATGGAGAGAACGTCTGGATATTTATTGATTGCTGATGTTTATTTAAGTACACTAGAACCTCTCAAGGACAATTCCATGTCTAGTCGCGTGATAAAATCTCAGTGTGTGACTTGCTGATATCATGTAAACATTTTAGGTATCGATAATTCTGTGCAATATCACCTTCGGTGGAAGCGGACGTCAAGCACTAAGAACAACAACAACAAGGTATCGATAAATCTTGAAAACAAACTCGATACCCACACTGACGGCGGAGAGGTGTGTGAGGGGAGAGAGGTGTGTGAGGAGAGAGGTTGGGGGGTGGGGGAGGCTTTAAACCATAACATCTGACATTGATTCAAGTGACGTGGTCTCAATCCCATACTTGTATGTGACAAGAAAAGGGTCTTTGGTTTTTCTGCCAGAGCTAAAGACCCCTCTACACACAAGTGAATTATTGAAACGAATTGTACAATATTACGATGTTGGACCCGAACTGACCAAGTTTGTGTCGAGTGAACGTTACCCCCCTCCCCCCCTCTCTCTCTCTCTCTCTCTCTCTCTCTCTCTCACTTACTCGTGTACAAATTAAAGATGATACCCCCCCACACACACACTTATTTCTATTCTTGTATTAATCGATGATAGGTTCTCAGTTGATCAATCCGGGTTCACGTTGAGTTGATTATAGTTTATCTAGTTTTCTTCCTACTTGAACATCGTTATTTTCTAAGACGTAAATTTCTTATTATACGACTACTAGTTCACTTGATATGATGTTTCAATTGTTCAAGGAATTTGTTATGGCTTCCTTTTGACATTTTATTTGACAGGATTTTTAATTATATTTAGGATCCGATTACAACAAGTAATCGATCAGTGTCAAATATCGATTTTCGAATTGACCGATATCATTTTTGTCTGCTCTAGTTTGGGTTTATTTTTTTCTTATTTTTTTTTTTTTTTTTAAGATTTTTTTTTTTGTTCAAGAATGTAGCGGATAGATAAACCCGTAATTCTATATAAAAAGTCAGAGTAATATATTCATTGACGTCAGAGTATTATTATTATTATTATTATTATTCGTTGGTGTGTACGTAAAAGAACCATTGACAATTGGAATTCGACGAAGAGTTGGCGGAAGCATCACTTACTAAACTTACGCTTCCTGTCTAACATTAGCTCCGCTTGAGAACGAACACTAAGCTAGTTGACCGACATTTTAATTCCTAAATCGATGATTTTAGTCGAAAACACAAAGTTTGCTGCGAGAATTTTGAGACGTATTTATTCGGCTTTAATTAAATTCAATTGAAAGAGTTTATTTAGTCTTTGTACCCTGGTATGTATGACAGATATGAAACCGAGTAGAATCACATTACCATATAGTATACTAATTTTCTGACTCAAGGCAGAGATCTTTTCTCGAAGTAGATTATTGTCTATGTACAGAATGGGAAACACCGCTGCCTCGGTCAAATGTCGCACATAGCACATGTCGTATATCTGTGAGTAAGGCGTTGGCTCGTTAGCTTGGAGGTCCCGTGTTCAATCCCAGCATTGGCCGAGAAAGATCATCGGTGGTGCAGGACCGACGTCCTGCCAAAGGACAACGTATAGTCGTTCGGATGGGACGAAAAACATTGACGTGCACGTAAAAGGTCCTTTCAGAGATGGAATTCGATCTAAGAGTAGCCCGTATCGCCACTGTCCGGGCAACATTTCCCTCATAGCACGCTGTATGGTGTATGCCCGTCTTCATTAATCCCGTTCGGGGCTGAACAGTAGGACATTAAACCCCATTTCATTTCTGTCTGACCTATAGGCAGAGACAAGTAGGACGTTAAACCCTATTATTATTATTAAATACGACTATTACCACAGAGTAACTGTGCTATTTAACCTCGTATTGATAAACAGAACAATTTTATATATTGACGTCATAGGTAGGTTTAATACGTCGTGTGTGATATTCTAGCCACAAGGAATGTTTTTGAATATATTTTTAGAATCAGAATGACTTTGATTCCTGAACTAGTAACAATATTTCTTTAATTGTGGTTATCACTCCAGACAAAAACACTCACTAAAATAGCATCACAGAATAGCATTTAGAACCAAATCTTTATTTAGCTTATTTGAAGTTATATAATACCACTTCCGTCTTCGTTCTTAGTGTTTAACGTCCGCTTCCACCGAAGTTATCTTTAATTTCATTTTTATTGTCTTAGCGCACGCGCAGGGGTCTTTCATGTGGCAGGAAACCGGAGTACCGGGAGTAAACCTACGAGGTTGAGAAGGCACCCCTATCTTCAAGTCACATACGTTCACAGCAGGGATCGAAACCACAATCGCAAGCCAGAGGTGACCGGCCACTAGGCCATCCCATTTGCTAATTCCGCTAATTAATTATTTTTTTTATAATTGTTAGTTCTTCACAATTGGGTAGTATTGGGTAAATCGTCCTGGCGCTTCCGTATATAATCCTAGTCTTGAGTTACTTCCGGTTGATCGAAGTGGATTAAAACTAGTAATTATGTCCCCTGATTTCACCAAAACTAGTTCGTCTATTTAAAGCAGTATCCCCCACCCCTACTCTGGGCTGGGATGTCCTAGTGGTCTTATGTGCCGCGTTTCGACCTCTAGCTGGCCGGTCACCTCTGGCTTGCTATTGTTGGTTCGATCCCTGGTGTGAGTGTATGTGGCTTGGAGATAGAGCGGTGCCTTCTCAATCTCGTGGGTTTACTCCGGGTAGGCCTACTCCGGTTTCCTCCCACAGGAAGGACCCCTGCGCGTGCGCTAAGATAATAAAAATGAAAAATAAGATTTGTCTGCGATATCACATTCGGTGGAAGCGGACGTTAAAAAACCAAGAACAACAACAACCCCTACTCCGCTTTTCTGTCCTGTTTTTAGTTTGCATGGAATAATTTTGTAAGGAATAGGAAAACGCACACCTTTTCAGATTTGGGGTTGATCCACTGGTCCCACTTCCCAAACCCTCCTGTCTCCGCCTAAAGAAAAATATTTTATAGCTTGATACGATAGTATTTGTATTGCTTACAATGTCAGTGTGTCTTGTCCACGGGTTTGTCATCAGGATTCCCGTCCGTGGTGTGGTGCTCCTGCACTTACTATTAAACATACATTATGCAAGAACCACATCTGCCTATTGCAGGTCTTTCTTTAGGCCTTAAATGTTATATAATTTATTAATTAGACATTAATTTACTTATCCAGACTACGATATTTAGCGGATTGGAATACATTTTTTCAAAAATAATTAAACGTAAAAATGGATAATCGAGACTTGGTTTTTATCATACCGACTTAAGTAATGGTGATCGAGGCTAGGCCTAAAATTCAATCTTCATTATCTCGGTTCATAGTGGATCAATTTGACTGAAATTTTCAGCATATTCCCTTTACATTATCTATTTTAAAACTATTATCTAATTTCCCATAATGTATCTTTAAGTTCTTTGCCCCCAAATAATATTGGAACCGTTATGCGTCAGAGTAAAATACTGGTATTATTGTTTTTATAAAGTTTACAACCCATAATAGTAACAAGGTAATCTTTGACGTCAGGTAAATGAATATACTTGCCATTTCTGATCGTCGAGATTTGCCAAATTATTTGCACCTGGCTTGTATTCTCTTACATCACAACATTGAGCTGTGGAATTCAAGGTTTTTGTCTAAGCTGACGTCATAATGCTCTACATTGTTTAAAGATAGTGGCATTTTAAACGGAAAAAATTGGGGTTTAACGTCCTACTGTTCTGCTCCTACTGGGCCATACAATATGCTATTGGGGACATTTTGCCCAGACAGCGGCACGCTGGAAAACACCGAGACACTTTCTTGGTAAACAACGGGATAGAACCTAGAACCTGTTGGTTAGTCAGTGACTTACTCACGAATTCAAGGAGTACCGTGGGGATGTTTCAAGCCCTGTTCTAACTTTTATATCGCCAGCGGTGCTTGGTTGTTCAGATGCTTACAAATAGTCATAGACGCGTTAAACAACGTATACTAACCGTTGACGGATGTAATTCGCAATTCGCAATTATTTGATTGATATAATTTCCTCGTATAATGATGATTATAAATGAATGAAATGAAATTGGGTTTTACGTCGTACTGTTCTGCTCCGACTGGGCTTATGAAGACGGGCATACGCCATACAGTGTGCTATGAGGGAAATTTTGCCTATGGCCTATTCTTATATCGAATCCCAACTGCCAAGGGATATTTTACGTGCACGCCAATGTGTACACGGGACCTCGGTTTTTCGTGCCATCCGAACGACTAGACAGGTGTCCTTGGCAGGCCCACCTCCTGCGACACTGACACTGGGAAACCATGTCGAAAAATCCCAATGAACTTTCTCGACCAATGCATGGATCGAACACGCGAGCTCTAGTATAGCGAACCAGCGTCTTACCCACTTAGCCACCGTGACTCCAATGCCTGTTATAACCTATATTTGTAATGGTTACTAACAGTGTTTAATTTAAATTGAGCTAAATGCCGAGTATTAGATTTCAGCTGCTGTTGCTATATCTGTCCCAGCTTAACTGATCACGTGGATATAATCAATTCGAATTGAGTATTATTAAGGAATTACTCCCCGTGCCTTAAATCTTTAAAACTTCCAGGAATTACTGATGACCTTGGGGCAGATGTTTATTGTATTGATGCGTACGTGTCAATTCGTCTTACGAGTAGAAATTGTTTATGCTAGCATTTTGTTGAAACCATTTATATTTATCTCTTGCCCCTATTTTTGTAGCAAGGTAAAGCCTAGCTCACGACCCGCCGTACGTGTTTTCACACGCAAGGGTCGGAGGGTTTGGTAGCTCGCAGACTAGCAGCAAGAAACCGGGTGAACATTTGGTATGGGCATGACCAAAAGACGTTACGGCCAGTTTACGATCTTCTACGGTGCCGAACACATGCAAGTGACATGTAAATCTGACGCACGGGCTTACTAAATTTCCACCCTTCGTAGCACGTACGGCGGGATGTAAGCCAGGCTTTAGGGATGACTTCACGGATGGTACAAACGTAGATATGACCTCCTCGATTCCGCCACAAATTTTTTTTTTTTTATCCTTGACATGTATAGTTCTTGCTTTCAAGGCAACAATGGCCATATTTGTGTAGCTCAAACCCTATCTGGTCATATCGTTCAAGGTTAGTGATGACGTTAAAGAATGTACAGACGTAGATATGACCTCGCAATTTATTTTTATCTTTGACAGGTACAGTTCCAGCTTTCGAGGCAACAATCGTCACATCTGTCCCACTTGGTGGTGGAGTTTCTAGTTCTGCTTCCCTGGAGGTCGCCATGTACACATTCCTAGAAAACCTGGCTGGTGGACCTGATCCTAACATCAAACCTTCACAAAAAGCAGTTGCTTGTCAGATGGCAGAACATGATTTTGCTGGGATGCCTTGTGGGATCATGGATCAATATATCGCAGTGATGGGTAAAAAGGGACACGCCCTTCTCATTGACTGCAGGTGTGTATATCTTATGTTACTCCTGGGTTGGTCTCACCTGTGTAGGGGATCACGTGGCTAAGTGGGTAAGACGCTGACTCGCTAGCCTGGAGGTCGGGTGTTCGATCCCTGCATTGGCCGAGAAAGTTCATCCAGATTTTCCCGCGTGGTTTCCTCCTTGTCAGTGATGCAGGACGCAGGACCTGACAAGGACAGCTGTCTAGTCGTTCAGATGGGACGAAAAAGCGAGGTCCCGTATACACATTGGCTTGCAAGTAAAAGATCCCTTGGCAGTTGGAATTCGATATAAGAGTAGGCCGTAGCGCCACTGCCCGGGCAAAATTTTCCTCATAGCACACTGTATGGCGTATGCCCGTCTTCATTAGCCCAGTTTAGGAGCAAAACAGTAGGACTTTAAGCTCCATTTCATTTCATTTCATTCCACCTGTGTACTTTAGATCCTAAGGTCTGTCGTCAAGTGTCGTAGGGGAACCGCGGTGGTTCAGTGATCAAGAGGTAGTCTCGTTAACCAGGAGATCGCCGTGAAAGTTACTCGTGATTTTCCAGCGTGGCTTCATCCTCCCCTGCCATTCTTCCATCTCCCTCCACCTTTGTTCTCATAAAGGTTTAACAAATGAACTGGGCTCATTTGTGGGGTAACATGTCAGTGTCGGGGTTTAGAAATAACACGTGTATACCTAGACGAGTCATCTGTTCTCAACTAAACATTAAACTTGCTTCCAAATTATTTGACATACATCTATTTAAAGCTAGGTGTTGACAACCGTTTTTCCGATTGCTCTACGACCCTGAAACTTGATGGACGTTAAACTCTCCCGCGCTGTATCATAAGGTCTGTCATTGAGTCAATTGGCGTGGTTTCGATTCCCCGGTCGTACGTGACAAGGAGTCGGGTCGCCTGTCCAACCTCGTGGATTTTCCGCTGAAGACCAGATCACTACACGCAAGTGAATTGTTGAAATAAAATTCCCGAAATAACCTAGTGGACGATAAACCCCATCACTCTCTCTCTCTCTGACTAATAAGAAACAAATCGCAATACCCCCCCCCCCCCCCACCTCACAAGGTTACTATCAAGGTTTAGTTGAGTTGACTTGACTTCACCAGTTTGGATGCCATTTAGTACCATTAACAAATGGCGTCTCTAGTCTTTCCAGATAACTATATTATGTAGGCCTACTATACAGTAATTTAGTTTTAGTAGAAGAAAGTCAGGGTGAATTAAGTAAGACTACTAGGGTTATTGTCGCTAAATACCAAATTTGACACATCTATCACGAGCATGTCACGCGAAATACCACAGTTTGCTATTTTAGTTCAAGTATGTTAAACACATTTCACCCAAGGCCTCGCATGTGTGAATAAACTCTGAAATAAAAAAGTCTGAGTTGAATGTGCGGTAAATGGAGTAAAATGGATAGATATATCAGAAACTTTTTATTGGTATCTTGGAGAGAGAGAGAGAGAGAGCGAGAGAGAGAAGAGGTTTAACGCCCACTCGACACAAACTAGGTCATTTCAGGACTAACACACGGTTCAATTTTATTTCAAATGGTCCAATTTTATTTGAATAATTCGCTTGCGCGTAGGGGTCTTTAGCAGTGGGATGTAACCGAAGGACCCGGAGAAGACCCACGAGGTTGGACAGGCAATCTTACTCCTTGTCACATACAACCGGGAATTTGAAAACAGACTTTATGTTACAGCGCGCACATGCTAACCATTCGGCCATCCAAAAGCCCTGGTATCTCGGAGCTGTTCACATCGTTGAGACGGGTGATCTTAATCTGAACGATTTGTTCGTGATGATAAAGATTTATAACGGAAAGATTGTGAAATGAATGATAATTCACTACCATAGTCTGTAATGGATTTCTTACATAGTTATACTAACATATAGTAAAATGGATATACTACTTCTTAATTTTATTAACATGCTACGTTTCAATACACATACAGGTATCGTTATCATAATTATCGCACGTGACACAATTTCAAGGCTTTTTCAATTTGGATCTTATAAACGGAAATCGAATGAAAGATGAATTATCCAATACGAATGGGAAATTAAGCAATCCATTTATTATTATTTATTTATTTATTTTATTTTTTAAAAAAAAAAAAATGAGTTGGAATCGGGAGTATTTCTGTGGTCATATTAAAATATTTCCTTGAAATGGTTCATTGTTACAGGAAATGACCTCATTAAAGAGGCCAAGGGTAATCTTTGTAACCCGCCGTAACCAAGAGTGTGCGTAGTTAGTAAGGTCTGCAATTGATTCAAGTGGCTTTATTATCGATCCCACACTTTTACGTAACAAAGAGTGGGGTCGCCTGCCCAATATGATGGATTTTTCTCCTTGTTCCCCGTTGGCTAATTTTAGACTCTTGTGGCCTAATTTCATTCTTGATATATAGTGAGGTTGATTTTCCACTATAAGTAGTACACTATGACGTCATTTTCTTCCGCTATTAGAGTGACGATAATATTACGCTTGGGTGTCTGCTGGCATGTCGAACTATATAAACCATAACACGTATAAACCATAACACGTATAATAATTGAAATGAAATGGGGTTTAACGTCCTAGTTTTCTGCACCAACCGGGCTAATGAAGACGGGCAAACGGCCATACAGTGAGGAAAATACTGCAAGGGTTCTTTCACGTCCACGTCAAAGTGTACATGGGACCTCGGTTTTTTTCATACCATCCGAACGACATGCTGTTCTTTGCCAGGCACCACTGACAAGAAAAACCACACCGGAAGATAACGATGAATTTCTTGTGCAACATTAGGTTAACGAGCCAGTACCTAACTCACTGAGCCACCGTGGCTCCACGAATGATAGGTCGCCTATATTTATAAGCCGATGCCCTTAGATTATGTTGGTATAGTGTTGCACCAAAATGGCCGCCATATAATTGGTAGTTCAATAAATATTTGGAAATGTGCCATCGGCTGTAGATATTGAACATCGATGTTAAGGAATCCAGTTATCTCTTCTTTTTTTATATCTTGCTTAATGTCAGAACACGTAAATAGGGTATTTCATCATCATTTCCGCTAATTTCAACTGACAAGGGTGTGTATGGTTTTTACTAAATGATAAGGCCAGCTCAATTTTTCGTCATAGGTAGAGAAACATAAATCCTAGGTCAGTGCTTATGTGGAGACTTAACCTCTCCCCTAGATTCTTAAACCTAACCTACAATCTCGCCAACAATCACGTGCCCTAACCTTATTTACATCGCAACGACCTTGACAAAAATTGAGTAGGCCTTAACAAATAGATTTATATGCCAAGGAGTGCCGGATTAACCTGGCAGACTGAAGCCTAGGGCATCAAGATCTTGAGGCCTCCGGTGTATAGCGATACCGCCAGAAGCCTTTCGTCCACGCATTGCTGTCTTATAATATCCACCAGCACCCAGTACTTAATTATGTTTAAAACACATTTTCGTCTTACTCTAGTCGCGAGGATCGAGGATTGAGGATTGGGAGGGTCGTCATTATCCTCGGCTTTGCGTAATCGTGAAGATGGTCGTGAGGATGGTGAATTGGGCGGGGTGCGAATCACAAATGGAATAGACTAGTGCCTCTCTTCATGTAATTCACGACACTGACGTCAAAGTCTACACAAACAGATCCTGTTTAATAGATCTTGTCTTCATTCTATCCTGAAAATCAGTAATTAAGACCGGCGTCCTGGACACAAAGACAAGCTAAGTCCGGAGAAAATAATACAGATATCATTTATAATAACTATAAAACGACGTGATACATAACAAAACCGTTATATGGTACAACAATCACTAGTTTCATTATACACAAACTCGACATATACATATGTATCATTATCAAGCACAACGACATATTGTTTTCCAGCGATACTATCGTATGTTAGAAAGGTTTTAACGGACATGTATGTCCGAAAAGAAAAAATACTGTTTTAACATAGTGTGTCCTTTACTTTCAGTAAACTGATTGTAAATAAATTCGGTTCTCTTATTGTGAACAGTTCGTTTGTTACTCCAGCTGTGCTAGGTCGTGCTCGAACGTGTTAAGTCAAGTCATTAGGATGGGACGAAAATCCAAGGTCCCGTATACACATTGGCGTCCACTTTAAAGAATCCTTGACAGTTGGAATTCGAAATAAGAGTAGGCCGTAGTGCTGCTGTCCGGGGAAAATTTTCCTAATAGCACACTATGTGTCAATTATAAGCCCACCGCCATTTTGTTGTGGGGGACAGAATTGATAGGCCTATTGTAAGCCCACCGCCAGTTTGTTGTAGGGTGGGGGTGAACAGAAATGATAGGCCTATTTTAAATCCAAGCTGTGAGGTTATCTAGAGTTGGTAGTTTGATTTTGTTCTTTTCATTAAATGTTAAATAATAAATCTGAGTACATAGAACCGTGGATTAAAGCCTTGAGAAATTTGATATTTTAACGAAAAGTGGAAATGGCGCATTGTTATTGATGGACGGAACATTTTTTCTTCTTCAGATCATTAGAAGTAAAATTGGTTCCTTTATCAAATCCTGAAGTTGTGGTCCTGATTATAAATTCCAATGTGAAACACGAACTGACTGGTTCTGAATATCCAACACGCAGACGACAATGTGAAACAACCGCTAAATTAATGGGCAAGCAGAGTTTGAGAGATGCCAGCGAACAAGATTTGGAAGGTAGGCCATTGATTTATGCTGCTATTTGTTTCATTATTCCCATTTAATACTCACTATAAATATGTTGGGTTTTTTTGTTTTTTTGGGTTTTTTTAATATTGAATTGTTTATTGCGATATATATATATACAATAATATGTTTCATGCATATAATTACTGTTTTAATAAACTATTAATCAATCACAAATTACAATACATTACAACGAATTGCAACGAAAGTATACATAATTAGTTTCTTGTCAACAAAAATCACATACACGAGTTATCTCTCCTGAACCTCCGATTTGGGCACAAAGCAGTGAGGCTTCTTAAACTCAACTAAATTGTTATTTTGTGTTTCCACAGTCAGCATTTTGAGTTTTTTGGGGTTTTTTCCCCTAAATGTTCTTTATTTACGTCAATATTTACAAGCACATGTTACGAACATTTATATCATGAAAATAAACTAGATTGTTCTGTATAAACGGTTAATCACAAGGGTTCCTACTATACACAGATCTAAGTATATAAACCTATCAATGTTTTACATCTGTGTTTATTGCTCATTTTATAAAATGTAAATACATGTATCTATATCAGGCAGGGAGGGGGGTGGGGTCAAATATAGGCTATGTCTGTTCCCCAATCCCTATAAACGATATCCGTATAGAAATGTATGTTTATTATGTGAAATGATGGCCGAATGGTTAGCGTGTGCGCGATGTATCATAAGGTCTGTCATTGAGTCAACTGGCGTGGTTTCGATTCCCTGGTTGTACGTGACAAGGAGTGGGGTCGTCTGCCGCCTACCCAACCTCGTGGGATTTCTCCGGGTCCTCCCACTGCTAAAGACACCTACACGCAAGCGAATTATTGAAATAAAATTGAACCATAAGTTAGTCCCGAAATGACCTAGTTTGTGTCGAGTGGACGTTAAACCCCATCTCTCTCTCTCTCATATTATTATTATTACAACGTATTTATAGCGCGCGAGTTCATATAACATGTTCAGGAGCACTTTACAAAGTGACAATGTAATCATAAATAAACAACAAGATTATGGACATTTGATTGTATACAGAGTCTGTTAAAAAGCCTGTTTAAATAAATGTGTTTTAAGCTGTTTTTTTTAAAGAATATAGAGATGTACAACATCTTAAACTAAATGGTAGATTATTCCATAAAACAGGTGCTTGATAACTAAAAGAGCACTGATCATAAGAGACTATATATAATATCAAATGAAATGGGGTTTAACGTCCCAATGCTGCTGTACGGGCAACATTTACCTCATAGCACATTACATTACGTGTGCCCGTCTTCATTAGCCCAGTCATTGTAGTAACTTAGGACATTAATGCCCTTTTTATTTAAATATGTGATCTTGATTCCAGAATTCTATTATTCCTGGAAGTAGTTATCCATCGATGTCAATGATCAATCGATTAGTTTTATATTCCTCGTTCATATTTCCAGATTTTAAAGATAAATTAGACATGGAGACGTATAGACGAATTCGACACGTCATCACAGAGATTGCTCGTACCGATGAAGCAGCGAGAGCCCTAGAGAACAATGAATATGCCAAGTTCGGTCAACTCATGGTTCTAAGTCATAATTCACTACGGTAAGTAATACTAGTATCAAAAATATATTCCCATGTTTCACAGGAAAATGGGTTCAATCTGATTAAAACACAGATCCTATTTCGTTTCGTTTCGTTTTTTTATAGTTCAAAATTTCGGTTTCCTTGTCTCTACTACACTGGGATCTGGAGGAGTTGTTATATAACAGGCGTTCTGTTTGATGTGAGGAATTAGCCAATGAAACGGTCTGTTACAGCAAGTTCTTGGCGTGTTGTGGGAACTATGGGTAAACCACTAGAGACGTCAACGCTGATTAATTAATCAATGTCTGACGTCATAGGGTCAAAAGCCATGCGTATGACCCCTGATGCAACCTTCGAGTACAACTTGTCAGATCCTCATGTAGTGTAGACCATCGAAAGTATACAGAAATGAAACGAAATATAGATCTATATTTTAATTAGATTGTATCAATATTGTCGTTGCCACCATCTTATCTCATGGACCAATTATTGGTTCCAAATTCATAGATAAGGAATGGAGCAATATGAAGGCTGAAACAATATTATAATCTTTACAAATTAATGATTCTAAGTTCATAACCAAAAATATAGAAAGTAGGTGCTGGTTATTTTGGTACGTTAACGCAGCTATAGTTCAGTAAACTTGTTGGTCATTTACATTTTTCAAGGATAAGTTGTCATTGTTTGAAATACACGTGAGTGGAAAATTGTTAATTAGCCTACGTGATTTAGCAGCTATAAGAGATTCATGTAGATTCTTTAAAATCAGACACGCCTGGGTTTTTTAGACGATCGTTTCATGATGTATTGGTTTCATGTGTCTAACAACGCTGGTTAGATTTGTACAGAAGTGGGATAAATATTGTTTAACTGTTGTGACATAAAACGTATAGAAAAAAACAAACTATCTCTGTTCCAGTTACATATTTGATTTCGGTATCGTGAGAAAACACAATGGCGAAATCTTTAAGAAGAGAGATACAACAGTAGCCAGTCCTGAGTCAAACCATCTTCAATCGAAGGCTTGATCTCGCTTACTCCGTACATCTTATCAAGGCCTACCCTGCATATTTATCTCGATTGGGTATTGACCCAGCTTGTCAGTCTATCAGATTCCGCGATCATCGCGAATACCAGGTCTCGCGCTTTCCAGCTAAAATGTCTACCTGTGATAATCGAGTTCCAAACTTCAAAGTTCGTTCAATGTTAAGGTTTCCGTGAAGGTCGCAATAGTTGATTTGATTGTCTTAGTGTGACAACTTCTGATTGGACGCTACTATTCACGCGCGTGTGTGTATGCAGTAAAGAGATAAAACGTAGCTATAAGTTCGACAATTGTAAAGTAATCTAGCAACGTCCAGATGTTGTAAAACTCCCAATCGTTGCTTCAGGAACATGGAATCAAACCAAGCCCTAGACAACCAGGCCAAAACAAAGATATGTGGCAGCGGTAGTGCTGCAAAATCTCAATGCTGAATACAGAGACCTATCCTATTTTGAGAATAGATCATATAAACAAGTTTATCTAGAGATTTGACACAAACAAAACATACGCTCTCTACAATTAACTCAATTTGAGGACAGTCAACAGACACAAAGCTAGTTGACCGACATTTTGATTCCCAAATCGACGATTTTAGTCCACATTTTGTTCAGACCCGGGGGGGGGGGCAATGGTTAGCACGTGCGCGCTGTATCATTCCGTCTGTCATTGAGTCAACTGGTGTGATTTCGTTTCCCTGGTTGTATGTGACAAGGAGTAAAGTCGCCTGTCCATCCTCGTGGGTTTTCTCCGCGCCCTCCGGTTTCCTAGCCCTGCTAACGATCCATACGCGCAAGCGAAATAGAATAGAACCTTATGTTAGTCCCAAAATGACCTAGTTTGTGTCGAGTGGGCGTTAACCCGCTCTCTCTCTCTCTCTCTCTCTCTCTCTCTCTCTCTCTCCAGACTGTGTCGTTTTACTTCATCTCTAGAGAACTTCTACTTTGAAAAATTCCATAAAATTTTACTTCATCTGTGGAGAAAGACTGTGGATGAAGTCTACAACTTCATCCCGGTCCTGTTCAGACCATATATCTTCAACTGTTAATACATTTTCAGAGATGACTATGAAGTATCCTGTCCAGAACTAGATCAACTGGTAGAAGCTGCTATGGAAGTTGATGGTGTTTATGGATCACGTATGACTGGTGGTGGATTTGGTGGTTGTACTGTATCTCTAGTCAAACGTGAATCAGTAAATAAAGTCATCGATCATGTCCAGGTAAATTATATAACATTAAATCTTCTGGCCCCAAGTTCACGAAGCATTGTCAGACTTTAGTTGAGAATTTACTCAACTTTCAATCACTGTTTTTCAGAAATATCTTTGATCCAGAAACACAAAACTTTACACATAGTTTCTTATTAGGGTATTTGATACATTAAAACAACAAAAGTTTTATAAAGGGCTATATTTTAGTTAAAATAAGGTGAGCAATTTTGACTAAAGAGAATGCTTTGTTAACTCGGGGTCTGATCATCAGTTGAGGGTGTTTTAATCTCTAGACACAGCGGTGGGAGGCTGGGCGGGTCTAACACGTGTCTTTAGATCATAAGACCTGTCATTGGTTCAAGTGGTGTGGTTTCGTCTAACGAGACAACGTGACAATGTATATGGTCGCCTGCCAAACCTCGTGGGTTTTCTTCGGGTCCTCTAGTTTTCTACCACTGCTAAATACCCCTATGCAAAAATAAAATTGTACCGTATTATGTTAGTCCCCAAATGAATTTATTTGTGTTGAGTGGACGTTAAACCCTCTCCTATGTTATATCCTGTCCGGGGTTGGTCTAAAGCTTGCACTTTATATCTCAATGTCTGTTGCTATTGTGTCAAGTGTCAAAGGGGAACCGCGGTGGCTCGCTCCCTGTGTTGGCCGAGAAAGTCTCTCCGGCTCCGAAATGACTAAGTCCCCCCACCCCCTTTCCTCTCCCTTCCCCCTTTATCTAGTCATATTATTTGACACTAAATTACTTATATTTTAATTTTATTTCTAGGGTCGTTATAAAGGTAAACCAACATTCTTCATATGTGAGCCATCAGATGGTGCTGGTTTTATTAAGTTATGATGTGACAGGCAGACAGATCAACGACAAACACTGTATTAATCAGCTTCACCGTCATCATTTTCATCATCGTTATCATCAATCAAATACTCTGCTGAATATAGGTTTTTACTGCTTTGGGAAAAGGAAACAAGGATTAGTCAATTGTCACCAGAAGTACAGCCAGATCTTTGTTAAGATGTGGGAGTGGTTTGGAATGTACAGAGATATATTTTTTAGTATTTAATGTTGAATAAGTGTTATATAAACCTGTTTGGAGTGATATATATATATATTTATTTATAAAAGTCATCCCTGAATCAGGGCGTGGTTTTGTAGCTCCGCCCCATTTTAACCATCTGGCTGTTCGTCCGGTGTTTGGCCATTCCTTGTCTTTAAGCTTTTACCTATTTGAGATCAGAGTTTGTGGGATAATTATTAATACATGCATGAATAAGTCTTTTTGTGGGAGCTTCTTTTATATATGTTTTAAAAAAGAGTTTCCATTTTATTCCAAGATATGAACCGGTGTCAATTATTCTGTGTTTTTACACTAAATTTATGCGAGAATCGAGAAATATATACCATGAAGATTGATAGAATATAATAAATAATGATGTCATATTTTCATTCCCGACATAATTAAACTTTATAATATAGACTATGTTAGCTAAATTCATTAATAATGTATCATTTATTTTAACTAGCTTTCCATTTATTGGGTTATTTCCTTTTATGGTTTTGAGCTATGATTATTTTTAGCAGAATGTTAATCTTAATAGCTAATTCTACAAGATGTCAATTGATTGATATTTGTGAAGTCAATATGGTACAGGGCATTCAAAAACTGTACTAGGTTTTTTTTATATCTGGCCAATCTTTTAGTTTAAATTAAACAGTGCGAAGTTACAAACAGTATCCTAGAACAACTCCAAGATGGGGACGACTTCTACCCGAATTTTATGAAATAAGAAGCCGTGTGGCAATATCTCCGCTCATTTTAGTGCATTACAGTGAAATTGAGATCAAAAACCACAACATTATTTCAATAAATGTAGGAGAAAACAAAATATGCTCTGTGCAAACAGCCCCACCCCCTACTTTGAACACGCACCTGATTCACGTATTGAACTCTTTTAACAATGAGAAATATTCATTAAGCTACCTATATATTTAATATTCATTAAGTTACCTATATATTTAATGTTTAAGTGAGGAGGTTTGCAATTCAAAGAAACTAGTTTTTAATGTTTGAGAGTATTTTTTATGTGCGGGAGTTCGCAAAATCAAAAAAATTAATTTCTAATATTAGAGAATATTTGTTAAGTGAGGAAGTTCGCAAATCAATGAAGTTTGTTTTTTGAATTATGTATTTAAATTTATTTTAAAGAGGTGTATATGTGAAGGAGGATAATGTTATTAAACTTGTTATATATAGGATATGTGTTATATTATAGAGGAATATAAGTAAAAAAGGTTCGCGATCTCTCACGTTATAATATCAATGATATTTTTATTTATTTTTTAGTATGTGGGGGTGGGGGGGGGTATGTATTTAAACTTGTTATCTAGGATAAGATTATTGTTATATAAGAAAACGTAAATAATAGATAATTATATATATCTTATGGCAGCTTGTTTATCATGTTAATCTATGAGGTTTTATCAATTTAGATAGATATAGTGTAATCATTGGTTTATCAACTATTAATAATTTTACAATAATAAAGTTTTTGCCTTTCAATCGTTTATATACGTTGATGGTATATTGACGTCGTCCACAGTTTGGTTGTGAACATTATATGTCCGTCTTGTACACAACTTCTTTGGAAGTTGGAACCTTATAATAGATGAAGATAGGTTGCCAAGCAACAAAAATACGCCCGAAGCAGCTATATCGTCCGGGCAGTCAACAAGAGTTGTCAAATATTTTTACTTTTTTCGGTATAAAAAATGGATAATATTGAGTTAGAGGTATAGTTCCTTTAAACCCCATTTTACTTCATTCCATTGAAGACATCAAACGCAAATCACAAACGACAGTCACAAATATAGTTCTGTGACAGTCGTCTGTCTCTGTTCAGGGTTCGCAGCTAAACTAGGGGTGTCCCGAGGCTGAAATTTGATGTATAGGAGTAGCTCTGTGTGGGTAGTGACGTCGTCTGGTGGCGATGAACTACCCGGGTATCATCTTAGTAAATACATATAATAGAAAACAAGGGAAGTAATAATCCCTCACTGCATAGTGTATGACCCCTCTTCGTTCACTCCTTTTTGGTTCAAAACAGTAAGACATTAAACCACTCGATTAAACCCAATTCCATTTCCACTGGGTAGGCATGAATGCTTGAGAATCGCAAGAAATCAGTAAGACCACCAAATATCTTTGAATGACGCGGGGGTAGACAGAAGGCCATTTTACATCTACACCGACCCCACGGGTTTATGGGGCTGTATGTGTCTGGGATGTTAAAAAAGACCTCAGGCGACAAAATAATCAACATAGCATTCCATGTTCTACTTGTAATTGAATTCTAGTCATATACCGCGTCAATACCAATCTTTTTAAAACATAGATTCTAATTCGTTTCTTTTTTTTATAGTTCAAAATTTCGTTTTACTTGTCTTTAGGAGAAAGACAAACAGTCGTTACTACAAATACTGGCGGTTTAGTAAATGGCAGCAAAGGAATATTTGATTGACAATTCAATATTTATCTAGGACAATAAATTGTTCTTTGTTACTGAGGACAATCGAAATTAAAACTTACACAATGTGTTTTATGACTAAATAAAGATAAATATCAATGAATTTAGAAGGAGAAAATAATAGCGACAATAGGTGAATTATGTTATCGAGTTAAATAAAATGAAATGAGGTTTAACGTCCTACTATTCTGCTCCTATGCTGGGTTAATGAACACGGGCATACGCCATACTGTGTGCTATGGGGGAAATTGTGATTGGACAGCGGCGCTATAACCTACTCTTATATCGAATTCCAACTGCCATACACCATACAGTGTGCTATGAGGAAAATTTTGCCCGGAGAGTGGCGCTACGGCCTACTCTTATATCGAAGGGATCTTTTACGTGTGTGCCAATATGTACACGGGACCTCGATTTTCGTCCCATCCGAACGATTAGAAAGCTTTCCTTCTCAGACCATCCGCCCTGCACAACTGACAAGTGGAAACCACGCCGGAAAATCCCGATGAACTTTCCCGGCCAACACCGGGAGCGAACCTGCGACCTCCAGGCTAGCGAGTCAGCGTCTTACTCACTTAGCCACCGTGGATCCCTTAGTATCAAGCTAAAGTCTGGCATTACCTGTTTATATATAGCAGGAACATTAAATACAGATGGATCTCGAATACCCAGTGTAATATCAACAAATTGAACGAATGTCGTATCTGAACCTAAAATGTACAAAATCAGAATTATCTATAACAAAAAATGAAACGAAATGAACGGGGTTTAGCGTCCTACTTTTGTGCTCCGGCAGGGCTGATGAAGACGGACATATGCCATACAGTGTGAGGGAAATTTTGCCCGTGCAGCGGCACTTCGGTCTACTCTTATATCGAATTCCAACTGCCAAGCGATCTTTTACATGCACCTGAATGTATACACGGGACGTCGGTTTTTCGTCTCATCCGAATGACTAAACAGCTGTAAAATCGAGAAAAGACTTCATTTTTTTCCCGGATATATAGGAACAAGATTCAATACTCAAGATTTTTAATAGCTCGTCTATGGATAAATTTATACTGGGAAACAAATTCAAAAGGGAGAGAGAGAGAGAGAAATGGGGTTTAACGTCCACTCGACACAAACTAGGTCACTTCGGGACTAACATATGGTTTAATTTTATTTACATAATTCGCTTGCGCGTAGGGATCTTTAGCAGTGGGAGGAAACCGGAGGACCCGGAGAAAACCCACGAGGTTGGACAGGCGACCCTACTCCTTGCCACGTACAACCGGGGATTCGAAACCACGCCAGTCGACTCAATGACAGACTTTATGATATAGCGCGCGCACGCTAACCATTCAGCCATCCAACCCCCCAAATTCAAAAGGAAACATCAAATAGAAAGACTAATAATTTGAACTGGCATTTTTAGAATTATTATATTATCTATACGACGTATATAAACAGCGATATAACAGATTACGGCATATCGTGCTGAATTTTAACATGACCAATGATTACTATCCAGATATCTTTGATGAAATGAAATGGGGTTTAACGTCCTACTGTTTTGTTCCGACTAGGCTAATGAAGACGGGCATACGCCATACAGTGTACTATGAGGAAAATTTTTTCCGGACAGTGGCGCTATACGACCTACACTTATATCGAATTCCAAATGACAAGGGATTTTTTACGTGCATTCCTATGTGTACACGGGACCTCGGTTTTTCGCCCTATCCGAACGACTAGACATCTGTCTTTGTCAGGCCCTCCTGACAAGTGGAAGCCACGCCGGAAAACCTGGATGAACTTTCTCGGCCAACACCGGAGGCGAACCCTCGACCTCCAGGCTAGCGAGCCATCGTCTTACCCACTTAGCCACCGTGGTTCCTTGACGAGATGAATGGATGGGTTAGGTTAATCTGGCCATACGTTAACAATACACCTATAATCATTAACACGAGAACACTTACTTCTGGTAACCGCCATTACTACAGGAATACAACCATCAGGTGTTCCAACCAGTTACATTATTGCCATTGGTATAATATGTGTACGAGACTACATCAAACCGATTGGTGCCAATACCAAAATACATCTTTCCGGCTAATCTTGCGTCGGCTAGAAACAAACAAATGAAATGAAGTGAAATGGGGTTTAACGTCCAACTGTTCTGCTCCCAACTTGGCTAATGAAAACAGGCATACGCCATACAGTGTGCTATGAGGGAAATTGTGCCCGGGAAGCGGCGCTACGGCCTACTCTTATATCGAATTTCAACTGCCAAGGGATCTTTTACGTACACGCCAATGTATACAATGTCCTTAACCACTGTGTTTCCCAACAAATAGGCAGGTGGCGGCCGAATGGTTATAAACAAATATATATCATGGGTATATAAATGGGTCCGGAGGGCAGCCGTAAGCGTGAAGTGCGCTGTACAGTCCCGGGCCTGTGACGGTACAGGTTTGACTCAAAATGAAAAAAAAAATGATTTACAAAAAAGTCGTTACAGAATAATGCGACTGATCTTGACAGTGGCTGTCTCTTCAAGGGCGATAGTCGGTCAGTTGATGTCATGAGTTAAAACGTCAAATTGTTTTTAACAAAAAGGGCGATAATCCAGATAGAATCTCGGAAAACTAATAAAATGTAGTGCGCAAACAGAAGCAAACCCAAACAACGAGAACATTCCGTAGTTCGAAGGGTTAAAACTCTACTTGTATGTGCAGGGGGCGCTCTACACTCGAAACAAAATCTACAAGATAAATCTGATGACAAGACAGAATATAAGTTACTGTGCTCTGAATTCGGTGCCTGGCAATTCGCCAGTGGTCGTCAGATGTTGGCAACGAAACCGTCGGTTCCAAATCTGATCTTCGACGTGAACTGTTTATAGAATTCATCCCCCAAATCTGTGATTATTTTGTTTCAAAAGTTTACTACCACCAACCAATTGAATTACCTGTTAAGATTTATTCTCACCTGGCAAGCACATCTTTGGGATTTTTTCACTTGTCGAGAAAGAACAGTTTTTCTTCTGAACATCAATAACGTACACCATTCCCTATGTTAAAAATTGAAAAAGATTAGCATATTAGTATATCACGGGTTGACAGGATTCATAATCAGACGGGGGTTCGGTGGCCGAACGGTTAGCGCGTGTGCGTGGTTTCGATTCCCCGGTGGCAAAGAGTGGGGTCGCCTGTCCAACTTTGTGGGTTTTCTCCCAGTCCTCCCACCGCTAAAGACCCCTACGTGCAAGCGATTTATTGAACTAAAATTGAACCATATGTTAGTCCCAAAATGACCTAGTTTGTGTCGAATGGACGTTAAGTCCCATTTCTCTCTCTCTAATTTTGAAGACAATTTGTAGCAGTCCATGCTAGGTTTAATAGCCTTTTTTACCAATCCGTGTAAGGCTATGCTTGAAATGTATACCAAGTAAATGACAACCAAGAAGAGGAAACATTAAGAACTGGTGTAGAGATTTCTGTTTATTGGGATAAAGTTTAATGAAAAGACAATCTGATTATACTTTCGATGGCCTACACCAATCATTAACGTTGATGTTTCTAGCTGTTTACCCACAATTCCGTGCATCGCACGTTAAGAACTGTTCGTAACAGACCGTTTCATTGGTTAACCCCTTACTTCAACTACAACGCGCGTTATATAGCAACTCTTCCAGATCCTAGTGTAGTAAAGACAAGTAAAACGAAATTTTGAACTATAAAAAACGAAACGAAATAGGATCTTTGTTTTAATCAGATTAATGAAAAAAAAAATACTGTTAATATTGAATTAGTAATGCGCTAAATAAAAGTAGGATTACCTGTGTAAAATCTTGTATGATATTTATATATTCTGTCACACCTTTTCTCTCCCTTGCTGTTTCGTAATATATTCGTTGATTGGTTTCGTCGTATGATATAAAATAGTTGTCCTGAAATATGCATATACCACCATAATAATACTATCCGTGTATCATAATAATACTATCCGTGTATCATAATAATACTATCCGTGTATCA